AAATGTCCCCCCTCTGAGATCCAGGACAGGAGCAGCACGCATGCTGGGAAACTTCTGACACCACACACAGCATGCGGCAACAGAGATCAGAGCTAGGCACCCTCTGTCAAAAGAATGCTCTCCCCTCCCCCAAATAGCCCCTGCAGTCTTGAAATAGGAACCAGCTGCTTGTGGGGCGATGGCCCAACTGTCTTTGTTCAAAGTGACAATTAACTGGTCTGGTGCTTCAAGAACTTTTGGATTCCATCTTTTGATTTTGAAATAAATAACTGAATGCACATGAGGTGGAGTTTCTGCGGACTTTCTAAGCCTGCCTCATAACGGTCTCCATTGCCCTAGCCTCTGAACCCTTCTCTGCAGTTCGTATCTCATAACCCACGTGTGCTTTACTCAGGCTGCTTCCATAGTAGTTTCTTGAGCTCTAGATTAGTGTATTCTTTTGTTTCCAATACATAGATTTCCCTGAGGCTTCTGCTTCCAGAGGTGCATACATACAAAGACCTGCTGCAGCAGGCTCTGCGGTGGGAGTGCTAGGCCCAGTTGGTGTCCCTGGGGTGGATCTTGGACCACTACCATCTGATGGCAGAAGCTGGACATGCCTCTCTAAGTTCTAGTCAGACACCAAGTGAAAGGGTTTTGTGAAATTTGAAAATTACATTTTACAAAACGCATCCTGAAGGTGACAGGTTTGCGCCCTACATGCTGATCTCTGGTGTTGCCGTAATGAGTGGGAGGGCGAGATATCTTTTGGCGTCTGGTTTGATCCTTTCCTCTGAGATTCTACACCAATTAAAATATGCACCTTACGCCACTGAATCTTTGTAGAGATCTGGGAGCGCACACTCTCCTTCTCCCTTTGAAGTAAGGCAGTGACTCATCGTGGAGCCGGTTGCCAGCCGATGTCCACAGAGAGCTGTGCCGCACGGCCACCCTTCCGAGCCGAGCAAAGCTCCTGCCCACTGCCACAACGGAGGCACCGAGAGCTTTCTCCATAAAGGACACGGTGCAAGTCCTTTACTTTACACTTTTAAAAAACTTGTGGCCACCTCCATGTTGTGATCTGACTGTCCCCAAATGTACATCCAGATAAGCCATCACTCCTGTCCTTGGTGACTGCTTCAGTGGCGCTTCTAGGAGGTTTTCATAATTGTTCTAATGGCTGTGTCCCAGGCCTCATGAACTGCAGCTAAGGGCAGGAAGGGTCTGTCTCATGGGTGTGCATGAGTACACGAGTGGCCTGCCTAAGACGCTGTGAGTGTCTGCCTGCTGCAGACTGAATGTGCCTTCTGCTCCAGGTGAGAGAAGCCAGCTGGCCTTGAGTTTGTGTCTGGGCTCCTGAAGACACCAGAGCCGGCGACACACTTGTGTAAACACAGAGGATAGCCCGCCCACTCCACACTCGCCAGTGACTCTGTGGAGAACATGCTCCTCACGGTCGATGGCAAAACACTGCTTTTCAAAGTCTACTTGAATTATGGCTCTCATGCAGTGACTGTACAGCATATTTTTCTCAACACAAATCTCTAGTCCATTTAGTGCATTGAAATGTGTGGAATCAGACTTTAACTTGTGTTAGACTTGAAATATTCTGAAATGATTACTGGTCATCCATCAAGTCTGATAAAGTATACATTTTTGTATATGTGCTGCCCAAGCAAGCACGAAAGTATACATTTTTGAATAATCACAAATTAATTTCATTTAAACCTATAGTATATATTTGGACATTACATTGATTCCAATGTTACTCCAGAACTAGTTTTTCTCTGCATGAACTTTGGTGTACTTGTTTTATTAAAATACTTATAGTGGCTAGTGCCATCTTCCATCTCCAAATGGGCCACACCAGGAGCTGACTATCAAAGCAAGCTCTATTCAGTCTTATGTTTGACTCACGTTCTATAATTTAAGACTAACAGCAAAATTTTAAAGGCACTGAGATTAGCTGCTACGAGTGACCGACCAAATTTAGAACAAGACTTGGAGAAAGAAAAGAAATAATACTCATAAGTTTCTAAAGCACTTGCACATTAATTATCTTATAGAATTGCCAGTGTATTTCCTTTCACAAATGCATTTCCTGGCCGCCAGACATACATCTTTCCCTGATATTCCATGTAAACTTGGAACATGCACAAAATATGCCCATCGCCTCTTTTCTTCTTTCCCGGCCATTAACCCTGCGGTCCTGGGGCCTCTTGTACCATAGAGGACATTCCAGGTCCACAATCATGTTCAGATTAGGGCCTCTGTCACTTCCCTTTCAAGAGAAAAAAATCAGGGCTTACTCCAACCTTGATCCCCCCTCAATCTCAGCAGACAAAATTTCTCTTCACCCTGAAGCAGAAAACGCCTTTCAGAATCACACATGCCCCATATCTTGGTTTGATCCATTGAAAACCAACTGTACTCCAATAAGGGAGCATAAGAAATAATCAAGAAGAATGTCAGTCTTAAGTCTGCTGAGCAGGGATCCCAGCAGTTACTCACTTTGGGAATGCCCCAAGTTAGCTGTTCACCCAGCCACTTTCCCCAGCTGGACAATGGGCTAATGCTGCTTGGCTCACTCAGTCCTGCTTAGAATTAACCTCAAATGCATGAATAGAAAAGCAGGCACTCTGCATGTGGTGGCTGGCATGCCATCAAAGTTGAAAGTCAAAAACACTATGGTGATTTCTTTAGGCTCTGACAATATCATTCTTATATACACTCAAGTAAGAGAAAAAATGTGAACTTAATACCTTTATGAATTGTTGTGGCTGTTGGGAAGTGGGCCTTGCTGGTCGGTGCGTGTAGCGGGCTCCTCATTCCTGGAACTCCGCTTTACTGGAGGTGGTGGGACACGCGCAGCCAAGAGTTTAAAAGCACACCGGCAGCCCGACATAAAATTCCACTCACAGGGGTGTCTTCTCATAGAAAGAACCTCACCCTTTAAAACGTCACAGGCCACGTATGCTCATGACAGGAAGGCATGTGTGACTGTGTAGTCACAAACATCATAAAGTCCTAAATTAGGGGAATAGCTAATAAAAACCCATGCATGTCTGTAATAATAGCTGTCCATGTTGAAGTCATACAGCGCAAAGCATTTGTGATGACAAAGGTTCAATTGCAAAGAAAGTGAAAGGACAGTGTGAGCCCAGCTGTGCCAAGCTGTGCACCAGGCAAGAAAAAGCAAACACCAAAGTGTGGAGGATGGTTCCTTTGATAGAATTAAAGACATTCTCTTTTTTTTTCACAGATTTTCCTGAATATCACGTGTTTTCTACAGGTAGCAGGTATTGTTCTGTGTTGGGCTGTAAAAATTACAATCTTTATACCTAAAATATTTAAAGCTCCAACATCAATTTTCTGGAAAGGGGGTCCCTCCTACCACTTGCTCAATGTCTTCTTCCAGATTTTAAGTCTCCTCCGTATGCCAAACAGGACTTCAGTATGCCACAGAATGAAGTACGAGAGGAAGCACAACTGTCTCCTGTGGTTATGCTCCTCTTATGTGTTACTTCTGCTTCAGATCTGTGTGTACCACAGAGTGTAACAATTTCCTGCCCATTCAATGTAAATGCCCAATAATCTAGGTTGGCCAAATATTGTAAAGAAGCTCTACATCTGTGTTCCTGGCACATCCTTCACTTCTAAAGGATCACTAAATGTATGCAGTCTATCAGTAATCAAATGGAACGCACATTGTATTGGTTTGCCACATTGCCTATGCAGTAGGATTTTACTTATACACATAGCTTCTGTCCAGAAAAACACAGTACACATCAGTTTACAGGATTTAACAGGTGAAGAAAACTTCGAATGGAAGACCCTCATTTACTAAAGAAATGAAGGCATGGACAGCTAGGAATTCCCTCGATCCCAAGGGGCACTTGGGGGCTTAGGGGACTCGGCCACACCGCCCACCTGTCTCTGTTAGTTACAAGGCACAGGCTGCTTGGCTCACAGGGTGAGGGACAGGCACCACCCTTAGCTCTGCGGGACGAAGCCCCGGAAGGCTCAAGCTCACCTGGGCTGGCCCCTCTGGGAAGTCTTAAGCCACCCCCATCCTCCCTCTTCCCTTGCTCAAATCTGGAAGGGTCACAAGGGCAGAGCATGTCCGTGTAACAAATCAAAGAACGTCAGAGCCCCACAGAAGGGTCAGAGCAGGCAGCACAATCTCCACCCCTTTAGGACCTACACCCAAGCGGGGTGCACTGCACCACCCCCAGCCCCTTGCTCAGCGCTAAGGCTTTGGCAACTTAGATCCTGAAATTTACTTTCTAATTATATTCCATTAGCTGAAGATTCCAATCTTTTCGATTTTCCAGAACACACTGGGGAGGAGGGGGCTGAGGGACGTCAGCCTTGTAAGAACATCCATCGAGAACGCTGCTTGGTGCCAGCTTGCTAGGGCGGAAAGGTTGGACCCGGCCAAAGGACACTAAAGGCCAGAAGAGAAGGAAGAAGTGGACGGAAATGACACCACCAGTGCCGCAGGGGTGTCCCTCGGCTCCCAGGACCAGTGTCGTGGGTCCCTGTGCTTGGGCTGAGCTGGGCAGCTCCGCTCTTGGCTGCTCAGTCCTTTGCAGTGGCATTTACACAGTACAGGCCTGACTTCAAAGGCAAACTGATCATGCAGTGGAGCCCCGGAGGGCAACTGGAATGCCACGCACCACCTCATCTGCCATCAGGAGATGCTCTTTATGCAAAAAGCCTTCCAGAGTTGTTTTAACCCATGCAGGAGGAAACACAGCTACTCTGAATTGCCACCGGGTCTATTTCTGAAAACATTATCTGCCTCTTTCCTCCAACTCACACCAGAGGCCCCACGCCAGAGGCAAACTTGGTCAGGAAAAAATGGGGGCCCCGAGCCAGATGACTCCACTCACACACCACAGACAGGAGGGCACAGGTCAGCAAAGGATGCCGGCCTGCGGGCTGGTGGTTTGCCCCACGGAGATGCAGAAAGAGCGGTGTGCCTGCGTCCTACAACGGAAGCACCGAGGCTAACTTACCCGAAGTGACTGGATAAGTTCATGGAAATACAAAAGAGAAGGAGGTTTTTGATCATGATAAAGCTAGAGAGCATTCCATCGTCCATTCCCAGTAAGAATCGCGGTGGGAGCAGCCGGCCTGAGGAGAATCCCTGCTCTTCTCTTCAATTCAGCCTTGAAGCTGGAAGCACACAAAGGGGAGAGCGCATGAACCTGAGCGCTTTTGTTCCCTACACCGGAATGAAGTCATACTGCTACGGGAGATGCTAGCAGAGACAAGGGAGCTAGCTGGCTGCCAGGGCGCAGCGCAGGCTCTCGCAGGGCGTTTTCTACGGCCTCCTAGGGCCGCCAGGTAGGGTGAAACAAAGTTACCCTGTGGCTCAGCTTTGCCTTTACTCAGAGCGCAGGGCCATGCTGATTTTTTCCCCAGGTCTCAAACACTATTTCAATTTTTAGCAGGTTATGAAATGACCCATTAGACCAATTATTACAGAAAATGTCTGACGTTATCTGAGCCACTGTATTCGGCATCTGTCAAATCCACAAGTGGAATAAATTTACCTTGCTGAAGCATTTGCCACCCGTTCGCAGCCAGCACGCTATTTCTTGTGCTGCAAGGTGCTGGGAGAGAGCTGGAGCGAGCTTGTGGAAAGGGAGAAAAAGGCACGCTTCAGAAAGAAGTCTCGCCAGGATCACCAGGGAGAACCGCTGCACGGCGGCAGGCGTAGCACACTCCGCGCATCCTGCCCCCAGCCCCGCAGGGCTGATCCACGGCACTTGGGGGTGTCTCTGGGTGCTGGGCTGGGCCCTAACTAAAGCATCTGAAATTCAGGCAGACACGGTCCCCGGGCTCTACCCTTAGAGAAGGCACATTTTCCCAGCACGCGCATAACGGCAGTATGTGCTTCGGATGCACAACAGCCGGGAGTTGGCCAGAGCACGGTTTTGGGGGATATGCCCCAAACTCGGAACCGGGAAGCACACAACAGGTACTTCCCCCTCCCAAGCAGGGCCCTCGGTGACTCTCTAGGAGAAAAGGCTGCTGCGGCCCGGCCGGCCTGGTGGCAAGCGCTCAGTGCTGCCTGCGGGAGCCGGAGCCCCCACCCCAGTCCCGGGACCGCGCTGCGGCTCGGAGTCCCGGCCGGCGCCGGGCAGGTGGAGCGCGGGGACACTGCGGGGCCGCGGCTGACGCGCACCTGCCCTGCCCACCCTGCGCGGACTCGGGCCGCCGCCCTCCCGCCGCCCCTCTCCGCACCGCTCTCCGAGCCAAGCTGGGGTCCTCGCACGCCGGGCGGCGCCTCCTCCGCGGCTGCCCGCCCGCGGTGCGGCGGCTCCTCCGGACCCTGGACTCGAGCAGTCTGCGCGACACGCGCGACACCCGGCGCGCCCGCACCCACCCCAGCCCCTCCAGGACCCCTCGGGCACGGGCGCTCCGGGGCCACGGCCGGCTCTGCGCGGCAGCAGCTCAGCCCCGCCGCCTCCTACCGGGCCGCTCCGGCCGCTCCGCAGTCGCCGGGCAAAGTTTGGCTGCGGCTGCTCGCGGCTCAGCCTGCTCGTCACTCAGCCCCGGTGGCCCGGCTCGGGCGCCGGCAGCGTGGAGCC